CCCCGCCAGCGGCGAGATCTGCGCCGATGATCAATAACACTCGCACCACTGCTTCAGCGGGTCCAATTCCACAGCTCACAAATCGTGCGGCTACAACGACCGTTGCACCAACGACTGTGCCCGGAACTAATACGACGACCACGGCAGCTCCCATGACTATTGCGCCAGCTGCAGCTAGCGCAACAACTAGAGAGCTGGCAACTACTTTTGTGGCCAACACGGCGGTGCCACGTGCCATCCCTCCTCTCACGCGAACCCCTGGCGCGGCGTTGCAGACAAAGATATTTGTAGTAGCAGAGACATCGCCTACTACGCCTGTTCCGTCAAAGTTTGAACACTGTAGCCCTGACCCTCCCTCACCTTCTCCGCCTGTTGGCGCCTCCACCCCATCCCGCTGCGGCCCTGCCACCCCATATTACCAAGCAACAGAGAGTTTTCTAGCTCTGTTACGCTCCCATCAGGTGCAACGACGGGTATCTCTCGATTTGCGGTAGGCGCCTCCCTTGAGGAGCGCACCCTGCGTCTGATGGAGGTGAGGGGTGTTCGAGGCATGCGTGGTATCAGTATCCACGCAAACAAGATAACGACAACTACGGGAAAATGGGGAAAACGACCAATTATGGGAGGCTGCTCGCAAGGCGAAATTGGCAAGCACGGTGGAGATGATGAAGGATTTCTGTGACCATTCGAAAAGAGACACGACAAGAAGTGAGAAGATTTCAAAGCTCTTACCCGGGAGGTGTTCCACGGCTTTGCGGATAAGCGACACTATAGGAGGTGTAGATCACCGCAGTCCATCTCCTCATCTGAAGATGAGCAGTGAACCCGCGCACCTCAGGGACGACGAGGAGCCGCTGCGGGACCCTCCAGCCACCATCGATGGCACTCACGGGAAGGTCCGAGCCAATCCCAACTCCCTATAGTTAGCTCAATGTTGTGGAGTGCCACGCAAGCACTTACAACTTGCGGCACGCACTTGCTGTGGCACACTATCCGACAGTCCAAATTCTGCCACTTGCCTTTCAACCTCCCACTCACTTGCTCGAACACCATTCTCTATATTGACTGCTGTGCGTTCCACTTGTCCTGTGGTTCTAGCTCGCCACGGCACACAAATGTACCTTGTGAGTCCGTATGGCGCATCGGAGATGAGCATATAGTTCTGTCAAGAGTAGATTAGGTTTAGACTAGGGTTTGGGGTAGGAGGGGACTTGAGAGGAACATGTCGAGAGAGTTTAGCCAAAGAGGAGGAGTTCACTATTGAGCGAGGTACAAATAGCAAACAAAGCATGCAAAGAAGGTGCACCACCAACATGTTATTATAACTACACTAACTACAGCTACACGCAGTTACAGATATATTCTAACACTCCCCCATAACTGCCTGCAGCAGGAGTTTGTGCAGCAACACATCCTGAATGGGTACACCACGAACAGAGAAAACAGCATCAGCAGGCAAGAGCAATGACAACCAGTGCAGCAGTGGCAGAAACAACTGCAGAAACCCCTTAGCCAATACAGAAACGAAAGAAAGGTGCATGTGGCGCAGGTCGCCTGGAGAGCGGCGTGCGGCGGCAACGAGCGGCGGCACAGCAGGCTCAACGGCAGCACCTGCCGCTCAACAGCAGCAAACGAAAGAGACGAATTAAGTGGCAACAGGGGCTGCAGCTGGAGGTGCCACAGTAGCAGGGGGTGGCAGTTGCAAATGCAGGGCTGCTGCTACTGCCACTCTCTCTCATACCCTCCCTCATCCCCCCTTACCCTCTCTCCCCCCCCCCCCCCACAGCAACAAGTGCTGCAGGGAGAGAGGAAGAGGGAAGGGAGGGAGGAGCGGCAGGCTCCTCACACCCGCCCCCCCCCCCAACCCCCCCCCCCTCCACGACGGAAGGGAGGGCGGGTGGGAAGGGCGGAATCACCCGCTGCCGGCGCTGGCGTGTGCTGCTGGCGCTGGGAGCCGGCCCCGGCGCTGTCGCTCGTCGCTGGTGCTTGTGCTGGTGCTGGCGCCCGCCGGCGCTGGCGTCCGCGGCGACGAAACGGGGGGCCCCGGCGCGTCGAAACGGGTGGCCGCGGGGCGACGAAACGGGGGGGGCCGCGGGGCGACGAAACGGGGGGGCAGCGGGCGACGGGCAGGGCGTCCGCGGGGCAGCCGACGGGGCGTCCGCGAGGCAGCCGACGGGGCGTCCGCGAGGCAGCCGACGTGGCACGTTCGGGGGGACGGGCAGGGCGCGCGTGACGGGCGAACGGGGAGAAAAAAAATAGCGCATTTCGCGCTGTAGTACGGGCGGGCCCATGATTCTTAAAAAAAAAAAGAGAAGGTTCCGGGAAAGAACCAGCTCTGTACCATGTCAAAAGTAGATTAGGTTTAGACTAGGGTTTGGGGTAGGAGGGGACTTGAGAGGAACATGTCGAGAGAGTTTAGCCAAAGAGGAGGAGTTCACTATTGAGCGAGGTACAAATAGCAAACAAAGCATGCAAAGAAGGTGCACCACCAACATGTTATTATAATAACTACACTAAACTACAGCTACAGGCAGTTACAGATATATTCTAACAAGTTCCCCATCTTCCCGGCCTCAGTCGACGCTTCAGCTAGGAGTTGTTGAAGACTCGCGCGTCATTGACACTGTCAGGCTATCCGCATTGTAGTCCCAGATGATCTCGTTTGAGTTGCATGCTAGATGTAGCATAGAGTATAAACCTTTGCAATTTTTAAAGTCCTCCTTGTCTCTGCCATACCCTATGCACTCTAGAGCCCCAATGACGCTCGACATCCTGCCCTCAGAAGGGTTTTTTTTTTTTTTTTTTTTGCAATCTCAGCCAATTGGTTTGCCCCATGAAACCCAGAGGGGTAGGAGAACATCGACGATGAAGGAGATGAACCTAAGCACATTTTTTTGTGCATGCTGCGACACCACCCCAAACTGCAATACGAGTTGGCGATATATTGCACCCGTCCTGAGATAAACAAGAGTCATAGCGACACATAATTCAATAGGTATAACGCGATGTCTGTCGCCATTCTTACTGATCAACGCGTCAACGAGGTAATCGAGCACTTCCCGATTGTATCTGAAGGTATCGGTGAACACTTGGTGCGGCATTCCGTCGAGAAGAGAGTCCCACCGCTCTCTCTGATTCTTGTGGTCAAGCTGCATGGTGTTTCCCTCCTCGTCTTTGAGTAGAAGGAGCACATCTGCAAGGGTGTTGCAAGATGGTCGCACGATAAACTCCTGGTACCCATTGTACAGTAGGTGCAGTACAGAGAGTTAGAGATTGCGTGACATGCCGGTATGCAGGGCTAACTTTTCAGATTAGGCCTCACTGAATTTGGGAAAAATAATTTCCCCTGTATTATGGGTGCATATTTTCCAAAGGTTTTCTACTCTGATTGCTAAGTGTCCAACAACGTCTCGCTCTGATGCTTCAGGGTTCACAACAAGAAATCAGTGTTGCTTTAAAATTTGCACTATGCTTTTTACTGCAGTATACTGCATGCTGGAAATTCTCTACACTATCTAGTGCACGTGCTTGTCAATGTTGAACACCTCCTCCACATCCTCATCATCCGAGAGGAAGGGATTGTTCCCCTCCTCCTCCCCCACGAGCTCCTGATCGTCGCCCAGGTCCAGTTCCACATCCTCCTCCTCCCCCTCCTCCTCCACGTTCTGCCCGGCAGGGCCTGCATCGTCTTCACCCTCATTTGCTTTCCCCTTCCTCTTACGCTTTGCCCCATCTAGCTTCGCGCTCATTGCAGGGCGCCTACTCCTCATAATCCTCCAGAATTCCAATGCTTCCAGCCAGTCGATGGCTTTTTTTTTTTTTTTTTTGATATAAGTACACTTCATGCATACATACATCCTCAGTCGTAACTGGAGCTAGGAGGGTGTCGAGAAAGCTACTAGAGAAGTAACCCCACCCCCCTCCTCTCCTCTACGGTGGTTGGAAGGCAACTCCCCGATCTTCCCATACTGCATTGAAACCCGCACGCCACGTCATCGAGGCCTCCGACTCGAACAGCCTCCGCATGACGCTTGCCTCGTCAGCTTCCAAATGGCTCCAATCCCCCTTGGCACTCGTCCCTTTCCTGTGCGCCGCCCTTTTCCGAGCCCGACTGTATATCTTCACGTGCCTTGTGAAGCCAACCGCAATCCGCCGCAATGCTCTCTTTGGCTGGAAACGGCTGCATCTGAATATCGCGTTACACCTCTCCAACCAGACTTGGTGCGCAGTGGCTGTGATCAGAGTTGCTTCCGGAAATCCGGTCGACGTGCTGCATTCTTGGAAGGTCTCAGCGGAATCAGGTCGACAAGCCTGTCGACCTGTGTCGACCTGTCGACCTGCTGCCCCGGGCAGAAAAAAACTAAAACCCCATCGGATGGCATGCCATCCGAGGGAGCCTCAACCCTAAACACCATGCCTCCCCGCGTTTAGGGTTGAGGCTCCCTGACCGGATGCATGCCCGTCTGGGGTTTATTTTTTTTGCCCGCGGGCAGCGAGCTCCCTCGGGCGTCGACCTGATTCCGCTGAGCTATTTTCGGCGGAACAGCATGTCGCCGAGAGACTCCACTTCCCTGCCCGGGTTCATCCACCGTATGGCTGCCTTCATCATTCCCACCACCGGCTGTATTGTCGGGCAGCTGTGCAAACAGTGGTCCTGTATTTCAACGGCTCCACAGTGTATACACAGCGCTCTTGCTCCCAGGAAGGGCAGTCTTTCGCCCACTTGCAAATTATTGCTATGTGCCCTCAAGATGATTTCCCTCGCCTTGCTCGGGGTTGTGAGCGAGTCTCTGACTCGGATGGCCCACCCTCCTGCCCAATGACTCCACCCACTGCAGTTGTTGCTTTGGCTGAGTCACTAGGGTTTTCATCGCCTTCCTCAACTGCTTCTGCTCGGCACGCTCCCCTCTGTCCCAAAACTGCAAGTGTAATAGCCTCATCCGTGAGGTTCCCAGCTCCCCCCGTACCCTTCCCTCAATCACCACCATGGGGTCTGCCCTCTACGCGTCAACAACTCTCATGTCCGCGTATTGTACCCGGCTGATGTACCCCTTTTTGTCAACTTCCACCCTCCTGCCGTATAGTACTCCATCCATCGCGTTCTTCAGGCTGTAGTACAACACCTCCCCCGGCCAGTATGATGCAGTACGAACCAAGCTAGTAGCCATGAAAACTTCCTCCGCCGCCAGTTTTTTAAGCACCATATCCCTCCATTTCTTCGGCACCGCTCCCCATGCCTTGGTCGCCCTCTTCCGCTGATCTTCTCCTCCCAGTTCCCTCTCGAGTGTGGCGTCGTCTTTCAGCTCCCTGCTTCCGTCCGCCCCTCTTTTCAACAGGTCCCCCAGCTTAACATCTTTCAGGCAGAGAGACCCTTTCTGTCCGCCGAAAGGAGACTTGCCTCTAAAGAAGATGCTTCGATTAAACCACAGTTCCTCTTTCTCGGCATCCCATCTATTCTCCGGGTCCCCCACCGTCACTATCTTGGATTCCCACAGTGATTGCAGCGTGGCTTTCCACCTGAACCCGCCTTTCAGCCAGTGCTTCAAGATTGACGGGTGCACATAAACCGTGGCCAGGCCCAGCGGGAAACCCACCGCTTTCTCCCACAGCCAGTTGCGTAGAGGATCCTGTTCTGCCACCGCCTTCCCCAAGTTCTGGATGACTGTGCTGTTTACTCTGTGCTACGGGTCGATTATCCCCAAGCCCCCCTCTCTCCGCTCCCGACAGGACAGTTCGTAGCTCCACAAGAAGAAGTGTCTGTCAAAAAGCGACTTGCCGACCGTGATGAAGCTGTGACACAGCCTCTTCACCTTTTTCCAGATGTCCTGCGGCGGGGTGTAGATCTGCGCCTGGAAAAGCAGTATCGGCACCGCATAGCAGTTGATGATGGTGACGCGTGCCGAAGTCTTCAGGTGTTTTGACGACCAGCAACTCAGCACCGCACTCACGCGCTCAAACTCATTGTCCCACGCCGGTTCCGGTGAGCCGCCCGATGTTATCCACACCCCGAGCAGCCGTTCAGCCACACCATTCGCTGCCCAACTGAAAGGTGAGTCATCTGGTTGTAACCGTCTCCGGTTCTTCCCAAGCGGCATCAGAGTCGTTTTCTCCTGGTTGACTTTCAATCCCGAGATCGATGCAAAGTCGTCAAGTAGGGACTTCGCCTGTAACACTTGCTCTTTCCCTTTTAGCACCAGCGTAGTGTCGTCGGCGTAGCCCACGTATTCCATCGCCCCGATTCCCCTCTTCTTTATCCCCAAACCTCTCCTCTCCACCTCCTGGCAGAGTGGCTCGACCGCACATCGAAACAGATAAGGGGCGAGCGGGCAGCCTTGTCGCACACCTTTCTGCATCTCCACCCGCTCCCCCAGCCAACCATTGAGCAGGAGCTTTGTGGCTGCACCGTCATGAAACCCTTTCACCCATGCCGTAAATTCCGCCGAAAAGCCCATGTCCCCCAGTGTCTTGAACAGGTACTCGCGGGACACTGAGTCATAGGCTTTCTGGAAGTCTACGAGCAGCAGCAACCAGTCCTCGTCCTCCTCCGCCGCCGCATCAATTACATCCGCAACCAGCGAGATAGCATCCTTCAGGCTTCTGCGAGTGAGGAAGCCGAACTGGTTTGGAGAGATCACCCTCGGAAGCACCTTCTTGATTCTATTCGCCAGCACCTTCGCTAGTAGCTTGTAGAAAAAACTTAGGAGCGTGATCGGTCTATAGTTGCTTAACACCGCTCTGTCCCCTTTCTTATGCAGGAGTATGGTCACCGCCGTCGTAAAGGCTTTGGAGAGCACCGCTGATCGCTCGAAAAGCTTGAACTACTCCATCACCGCCGACCCCAGCAAGTCCCAGTTCCGCTCGAAGAACTCTTTCGGCAACCCGTCTTCACCTGGAGCTTTTCCGGAAGGGAGGCCCCTGAGTGCCTCCTTCACCTCCTGTTCCGTCCATGGTGCGCTAAGTCTGCCGCGGTCCGTCACATGCAGCTTACGCCCGTCCTCAATAGGCCACGGCTAAGTGGGCTCCAGCTGCGGTGAGGCAGCGTATGCATCATTGAAATAATCCGACGCCGCCTTCAAGACCTCTCTCGCACCCTTGCAGCTCTTCCCGTTGAGTATGAGCTCATGTATCTCCGTCTTTGCCTTTCGCGATGTGACCAGGCCCGACAAGAAACCTGACGGGGACTCTCCTGCCAGCTCCAGCATCAGCCCCGACATGATCTGCAGTCGCTCCCTATTGCTGTCCTGGTACAGCTTCAGTGCCACCTCATTCTTCACCAACTCCTCGTATACGTCCTGAGCCAGCGGCTCCGCCATCACCCTCCACCGTAAGTTTTCTACTTTCCTTTCCAGATGCCGGATGGTAGCCCTCACCCGCTTCCTTTCCTCAGCCACGTGTGCCCTCATGCATGCGCGCAGGTTCGCTATCAGCCGCGTCAAGCCTTGGGCCTGCTGCTCCGACTGCTTACTCATCACCGCTGAGACTAACCACCTGGTGCCTTCCCCGTTTGCCTGAGGAGCCTGCAGCCTCCAGAGGCCCGGGCCATTCTCTTCCGACGTAGCTGACTTGACCGTCACCGCCGCCGTGAACGAGTGATCTGTCAGACCGTAGGGGACCATCTTTTGCCGAGCGTCAACGACACTGCCTAGTAGCGAGTGTGAGATTAATATTATGTCAATCCTCGTGCTCGTCCGTGCAGATCTCGAAAAGAACGTAAACTCCTTCCGGGTTGGGTGGAGGCTGCGGAAAGCATCTTGCAGGTCCCAACGCGAGCAAATCTGCAGGAGCCTCAGATTCTCCGCCGTCGTGCCGAGCTTCGAGGTCTTGTCCAACTCAGGGTCCGCCCCTAGGAGCATCGTATGCTGCGACGGCCCCAGGTTCTGCACAAAAGGGTTCAGAACCTCGCGGAAGAAGACCCCCCTAGCTGAAGCTTGCGCCGGCAAATACGCCGCCACCAGTCTGCACCGTAGTTACTGCCAAGATACCACCAAGCTTACGAGCCGACCTGATTCCTGCGTAACCACGTCTGTGAACCTCATCCCCTTCAGGAATCCCAACACCGCAACACCTCCGGCCCTCTGCGACGGCGACACCACCGCTTGAGCCTCGGATCTGACTTGAGTACAGAAATTATGGTCTGCCGGAATCCTGGTGTCGGTAAGAACCACCACATCCGTCGCCTTCCTTATCCATTTCGTGCATCTCTCTTGTTTCCCGTTACTGCCGAGCCCGTTGATGTTGAGCTCGAGGAAAGTGAGCTTATTGTGTTTATCCATTAATCCACTCCGTTTGGCCCCTCAGCATCCACGGGCGATTGAGCTTCATTGCAACGATACAGCCTGCTACCGCGAATGAGAACATTGCACCTACTACACAGCTTGCTACCCTGATCGACGTCACTACACTCCCCTCCAGATCTGCCGCCGGAGCAGAGCCCGAGCCGCTGGATTTACAACGAATCCTTTCTTGAAGGCAGCCATCTTCTGAGAGTACACACTAGCACTCGTTGCAGTGCCGTCTTTGCGCAGCCCCCTGTCAGTAATAACGGACTGGAATGATGGACTAGAAAGGATTGTGAGTACAAATATGAAACCCTAATGTTGTGACCCCCCTATAGGCTAACCCACTACAGCCTACTCAAATACAACATATACAATGTTTGACACACCCCCATAGGCAAGGTGGGAGAGACCTAGGGGTCACAAGACCAGTCAAGGCAAAGCAAGGCAACAACAAGCTCAGGGTGGATCTCAAGGATTCCACACAAATTCCGAGCACAAGCTAGTGGTCACAAGACCAGTTCACATGCAGGTTTATAACAGAGCAAGAGATACAGTGATCACAACCTAGCAAGAGTAAACATGCAGGTAGATATATATATAGTGATCACAGTACAAGCAAGGTCAAGAGGTAAGTAAGTGAGGTCCAGTAGGCACAAGGCCTAGTAGAGTGCAGAAGCGCTGATGGTCACAAGGCTGAAGCGCCTTGGTGAACACATCAGCAGTGTTGGCCTCAGTGGCCACGTAGCGAATACAAAGCTGACCGCGCTGCTGTAGCTCTCGAGCAAGGAAGTACCGCAGGGCAATGTGCTTCGTTCTGTGCTCCAGTCTGTGCTCCTCACACAAGGCAATGGCAGCCTTGTTGTCGACGTACAGCACTGGAGGAGAACGAGGCCGCTCTCCCAGGTCGGTCAGCAGGTAGGTCAGCCAGCGCAGCTCCTGGGCAGCCATGGCTGTGGCGTAGATCTCAGCCTCGCAACTGGAGCTGAGAACAGAAGAAGAACGTGTAGAGCGCCAAGAAACTGAGCCAGAACCAAGGCTGAAGGTGTAACCCTGAGACGACCGCTGAGTAGCCTGGTCGTCTGCCCAAGAAGCGTCTGAGTGCCCTGTGAGAACAACTCGGTCGCGCCCTCCAAGCACAAGCCCCATGCCCGACGTACTGCACAAGTAGCGCAACACCCTCTTAGCGGCATCCATGTGCTCCTTCCTGTGACGGCCAGGAGCGACATCGCGTGCAAGGATGCTTAAAGGGTATGCCAGGTCAGGTCGAGTGCAGGTCATCAGGTACATGAGGCAGCCCACAAGCTCTGGATACGGGCCACTCGGCTCTACGGACTCATCCGAAGGCAGAGCTGAGAGCGAGTGACCGGTAGACAGAGGAGTGGACTGAGGCGAGGAGTACGTGAAGCGGAAGCGCTGGAGGATCTGCTGCACCATGTGTGACTGAGTCAAGGTGATGGTGCGCCGTGCTCTATCCCGGGTGATCCGCAAGCCAAGATAGCTCGTCAGTTCACCCAGGTCTGTGCACGTGTGTCTCCTCTGCAGCTCCGACTTCACGTGGGCGAGTGCCGCAGTGTCAGCCGTGGCAAAGACCAAGTCGTCGACGTACATGAGGATGTAGAACGGCGGCAGCGAGGTGTCGGTGCGTAGAAACAGCGACGGGTCAGCAGTAGAGGGCGCGAACCCAAGAGCCGCAAGTGTAGTCCTCAGTGTGTCGTGCCACTCACGTGGCGCCTGGCGGAGACCGTAGACCGGCCGCTGGAGCCTCCACTGGGTACCAGGAGGAACCGACCCAGTGAAGCCAGGTGGGCGACGTAGCCAGATCTCCTCGTGCAGGCTGCCCTGCAAGAAAGCAGTGCTGAAGTCAAGTGAGTGAAGCTCGTAGTCGCGGTGGGCGGCTATGTGCAGCAGCACCCGAAGAGTGGTCATCTTCGGGGTGGGGGAGAAGGTCTGGAAGAAGTCGACTCCCTCTCGCTGACTGAAGCCTCGAGCAACATAGCGCGCCTTGAAGACAGGAGGAGAACCCGGCGGCCGCTTCACCCTGAAAATCCACATGCCACTGACGATGTTCGCCCCAGGAGGGGGAACCTCGTCGACGTAGGTGCGTGTGGACTTCCAGGAAGCCATCTCGGCGTCCATGGCTGTCTGCCACTGAGAGGAGTAGGGACCCGCCATCGCCTCAGCGTAAGTGCGCGGGGTCGGGATGTCTGGTGCATCCGGGTCTCCCTCAGGGGCAACTAGCAAGGACACGAGACGGGGCAAGACAGCAGCAAGGCACTGGAACTCCTCCTGTCTGTCCTCAAGGACATCCGTGCCAAGAGCACACTCACCCCCGACGGACGGAGGACAGACAGACTCAGACGCAGACTCAGCGACAAGGCTAGCAGCGTAGTCTAGACGACAAGCAGCAGCAAAGTCAACCAGCTCAGCGACTAGAGCAGACGCAGCAGAGGACTCAAAGGTAGGGTCAGTGACAACAGTAGCGAGGAGACGCGTGACAGTGGGACTGGCAGCACGACGGGAGTCAGACTCCAGGTCAGGAAGAGTAGGAAGAGAGGAAGCAGGAGGAGACGGCAGAGGGACACGCTGAGGAGCAGTAGAGCGACGCAGAGTCATGTAATGAGTGCCAGGGACAGGAGGAGGACGCTGGCGTGGGACACGACGACCAGTGCACGCAGTACGAACAGGCGACGCAGGACGAGAATCAGGCTCACGACGCTCTGTAAGACCTCCTGTGGGACCAGCGTAAGGAGAGGGAGCAGGGAGAGGCGAGGTAGGCGGTAACTGTGACTGCGGCTGGACAGGCGGTGGACACTCTACGGAGGGAGGAGGACAAGGAGGAGGAGTCTGCCCAAGAACCTGCTGAAGGAGCGGTACGAAGTACGGTCGCGGCCGCGCAGCATCTCCAGAACCAGCAGAGACACCAGCGGCAGGGTCCTCAGCACCAGCAGCAGCTCCAACGTCCGGGTCCTCAGCACCAGCAGCAGCTCCACCGGCCGGGTCCTCAGCACCAGCAGCAGCACCACCGCTCGGGTCCTCAACTCCAGCAGTAGCTCCAACGTCCGAGTCCCCAGCACCAGCAGCAGCGCCACCGCTCGGGTCCTCAGCACCAGCAGCAGCTCCAACGCCCGGGTCCTCAGCACCAGCAGTAGCGCCACCCCCTGTGTCCGCAGCACCCGGAGCACCACTCCGAAGACTGCAGCGCCGTGTGTACCACTCTCGGATCTGCTGAATGGGGGGGAGCTCCTGGGTAGGAGGGGAAGTACCGGGACGAGCTCCAGCAGCACCTCTCCGGAGGCGGCAGTACTCGAGGTACCTCTCCTGCAGCTGCTGGGAGGAGAGGGCTCCTCCAGGTGCAGCACCCCCAGTCTCAGCACCCCCAGACTCAGCACCCTCAGACTCCGCACCCCCAGGCTCAGTACCTCCAGGCTCCGCACCTCCAGGCTCCGCACCTCCAGGCTCAACACCCCCAGGCTCCGCACCCCCAGACTCAGCACTCCCAGGCTCCTCCAGGCGTAGCACGCTCAGGCTCAGCACCCCCAGACGCAGCACCCCCAGGCTCAGCACCCCTAGCAGGACGAGAGTCAACAGCTACCTCGACAGGCTCACCCGGGTCTACTTGGGACACACCTGAGGGAGCGGCACCCTGAGGGGGGAGGGGGTCTGGTACCTCAGCACCTGGAGCAAGGAAGAGAGGCGGGGGGGGGAGTGGGGCAGTGCGGTAGGGGAAGAGGCGGTAGTAGGGGACGGACTCGTCAAAAGTGACGTCTTGAGAGGCCAGGACACGACGCGAGGTGGGGTGGTAGAACTGCCAACCAGGGGCGTCCGGGACAAAGCCAAGGAAGACGCAGGGGACAGCGCGACGGGAGAGCTTGTCCGCGGACGTGTCGCGGACAAAAGCTCGGGATCCCCAGACCCGAAAACGCGACGCATCGCCAGCCTCTCCCGTCCAACGCAGTGTCGGAGAAGTCTCGGGCAAGGAGACACGGGGCCAGAGGTTGAGCTGATGCGCAGCGTATCGGACCGCAAACGGCCACAGAAAATGGGGGGCAGCCGCATGACTCAAGGAGGTACGAGCGACCTCCATGACTAGACCAATGCGGCGCTCAGCAACCCCATTCTGCTGTGGAGAGGCCGGAAGCGTGAACGACTGCTCAATGCCCTCCTGCTGACAGAAGGCCTCCAGGAGGCTAGAGGAAAACTCCCCACCTCTGTCAGAGTGCAGACGCAGGACAGGGAAGTCGGAGCAGAAACGCTCACTGAGCTGGAGACGAGATCTGCGGATCCAAGGGATCAAGACATCAGGGACTTCACCCTTGGCTCGCAAGGGGAAGACCGTGGTGTAGCGCGAGAAGTCGTCAACAACAATCAGAAAGTACCTCTCCTGACCCTGTCCACGGACGCGGGCTGGGCCCCACACGTCCAAGTGGAGCGTCTGCAAAGGAGCAGGCGAGTCTGGGAGGGGAGGGAGAACCCTGGGAAGACCAGCAACAAGGTCCCGTTTGTGCATGGCCCGAAGGCGCTGCACAGACGGGTGACCAAGGCGGTGGTGCCAAAGGACAGTCTCATGCGCCAGAGAGCAACACGAGCAGGGGGCGGACAGCTGACCTGACGCAGACGCAGACGTAGACGCAGACGCAGCTACCTGAGGGGACTCAGTGGTCAGTGTGTACAGGTCCGACCCCGGCTCTCGAGTGAAAGTAGCCAGGTGGCGACCCGTCCGAGCACACGTGCAGTGTGTCACGCGCTCGTAGGCAGGGGTGAACTGGTGAACACCCGAGTTCGTAGAGAACGAGGGGAGGTAGAGACCTGAAAGCGTGCCGGACGGGACCGCAGGACAAGGAAGAACAGTGGAGGAGGTCGCAATGACCGGACCCCCAGAGGGGTCAGCAAGGGAGACAGCAACTGGCCGAGCGAGTGGCTCAAGGACAGTGCGGTCACGAAAGAAAGAGCGAGAGGCACCTGAGTCCAGTGTGAAGGTGTGCAGTGCTGCAGTC